GAACCTGTAAATAGGCCCCTAAAATCCAAATGTAATGTACATTATTCTTTTCTATTTATACCAGTGTTCAGTGATAGTGTTTATACTGAAATTATGTTGAAATTGTTCTGTATATTTTCAGTACATACAGTTTTCTTCTTAGCCAATTAAGTCTACTTTTATTTTGAAATGACTTGCGGAAAGTGTAACAGTTGGTTCTGTTGGCCTGTCGTAGTTGTCTCGTTACTATGGTGACCACACCTAACAACAGCACTTTCCTTCTTCCTCCTAAAACTATGTCTGTTCATCCGGAGGACTTGGATCGGTTCTTCACGGTGTTTGACGGCTCTGCTCCGGAGGACGTGTCTCACGCCCGGCAGCTGTGGAGCTCCATGTCCCTGCTGCCGCCGCTCGAGTCCCGGCTGCTGTCGGTTGATATCCGACAGAGGCTGCCGGTGTCCCAGCGCGGCCGCAGCGCGGCTGCAGGACCCCGGACCTCCACCGCCTCGGAGACGCTGAGCGTCCCGGCTCTCTGGCAGCGACGGGAGGAGAGGCAGCGGTACGAGGCCATGGCCGAGCAGAGGAGGGAGATCCTGGCTCTGCTGAGGAGGCAGAGGGAGCAGAGGATCCAGAGGGAGCTGCTGTCTGAGCCATTTAAACCGAAGGTGAAGCCCGGAGGAGGAAAAGAGCTGAAAGTGCACCAGAGTTCAGACTGTGAGGTGGACATAGAGCTGGTGAAACAGCTGCAGTAGAACTGAAGAGCAACGATCAAGTGTGGGTGATGTTTAAAAAGGCTTCAGACCTTTGAAACACAAAATTCATCAAACTAAAGGAGCACTTTTCAACTTTTAAATGCTATTTCATTCATGAAGTGATGGAGATTCAATGTGGCTTAGAGTCACTCATGTGAAGTCTCACTTTCATCCAAAATAAAAGCAAAGTTTGTCCAATAATACAGAATAATACTGAATATTTCAATTGTTTTAGTTGCAATTCAGTCTGGACAGTCAACCATGTAAATGTTGCATACAGCTGTAAATGCTCTTCACTCAATCAATCAATCAATCAAATTTTATTTGTATAGCCCATATTCACAAATCACAACTTGTCACAAGGTGTGACATCCTCTGTCCTTAACCCTCAACAAGAGTAAGGAAAAACACAGGGACAGGGGTTTTCAATCACACCTGTAGAGACGTTCAAAGACGCAAACATTCTCCTGAGAGGACGTCTAAAGGAAGAGGATTAGGATTAGACAAGAAAAAAAAATCCTTTTGTATTTTGAGAAGAATGTCAAAATGTCAACAATAAAATCTAAATGTTCAAGATATTTTTTTATTTATTATTTAGGGAAATCAAAGGAAGAAATAATGTTGAAAATGAAGATAAAATGTTGAGAATTAAGTCAAAATGTTGAGAATGAACTTAAAATCAAGAAGTGCCTCCTCCGCCAAGGCCCAGCAGTCATTTTATGAAACCAATGGTATCCATTTTTAATCCTGAAACAAAGTCCCTCCTAATGGTGACAATGTGCTTTCATTTAAAAAAAAAAAAATTCAAACATATCAACCTGAGCTTTTCCGTGATATGACAAGCTCTGGTGTTGGCTGTAATTCTTACAGCATAGCGCAGACCTGTGGCTCCCGAACAGTCAGTACACAGCAGTTTGCTTGAAACAGCCTTACATGATGTGAAGTGAAGCTTAGGTGGATGTTCAAATTCCAAATGTCCAGTGGAGAAGGCCCAACCATAATAGGATAAGAAGAGGCCTGCTCACTGTTGACTTTAGCTAATTTGGATAAAGTTTTCAAAGCACAGAGAGCTCACAGGAGCCCGTTGTCCGTAAACGCTCTTTAACCTCTCAGAAACCCTGATTATCTGAGTAATTCACCCTCAATCTGCGTTCTGAATCAACAATCTCCTCGTGTGCCGACTCCAATAACTATCAACTAAGTTTCTTTACTGATGGTGGACAGCAGATTTAATGAGAGTTTTAAAGGAGGCAGCAGGATATTTAGCTTCAGTCTGTTCTGATGAAAAATACTAAAAGAGCTGCAGTTCTGAGAAAGGAGCTGTGGTACAATGTAGATTGGTATCACTTAGAAAAACACACACTTAATAAATCTGTCCTTTAGCAACTTTTCATCTGTTTCAGCAGCATCTGGCACGCCATTTTTTCATTGTTTTCTTTTTATTAACGGGTAAGTCTGGTGATATTCTAAATGTATTTTTACTGTCAGCAGAGCCAATGGAAAAAGCCCAAACCAACAATGGATTTCTTCTACTAACATGTATCACTCTGTTTAAAAGTCTGGTGTTATCTTGATCTCAATCCTCTGCAGCACAATAAAGCTCCATTGTTGTCAGTTATCAACTAAAGAGAAGAGGTCATGTGTCTCAGTTCACGTGCCTCCATATATTTGAATGTATTTTGAGGACAGAGGTGCGTTCACACTAACATGCAGTGCTCTATGAGTACCTGAAAGGTTCAATCTGAGTGGTAAACCACTGGGATGTAAACCCAGAGAATAGCATTGTCTCCAGCGCCAACTTGTTTAAAAAAAATAGAAGTAACCATATATTGAGGAGCGGGGGCCGGAGCCTGACTGACAGTTAGTTGTAGCCCAACTACACCTGCGACCTGCACCCAATGCATTTTTATCTATTTGACTCTAAATGGAATCACAAATTACAAAATTAGCATCATGCTGTATTGCAGGAGACTTGAAACTAGAGATTGAGACTATAAACTCCTCAACAAAATGTTTACTTATACATCAAGTGAGAAGTAGCGTCATTTCCCGGAAATTGACTTCTTTTGAATTCAGGTGAATCGCCCCCTGCTGGTCATTTGAAACAATACAGGTTTCAGGCAGTTATGCATTGGCTTCACTTTCTGGACCTGGAGTCTACCTCCATTTTTAAATATTGTCAGTGGTTCTGTCATAATTGTTTGAGAGTTGAGTGTTAAACATTTTGACACAACACCAACAGTTGCCATTAAAGCTATGTAACAGAGGGGGAGGGAACACTATTTGAGTTTCAAACTTGTATCTTTCTTCTTTTAAACAAGAAATGAAACAGTCACTTGAAGCAGAAACCTTGCTCACGGGCTCATGTTTTGCAAGCCTTTGGTTGTGGCAGTTTCAACAGTGGGGGTTGCCACACAAATTTTTTTTTTAAATGTCTGCACATAATTCATGTCAATCAGTATCCTCTGTGGAACAAATATATGCAATATCTATGCATCACAACCAATATGATTTATTAAGACACTTATGCACTTGATACTTAAGGTCAAGTGTGTAAGATTTAGATGAAAGGGAACTATTGGCAGAAATTTAATGTAGAATAATCCTCATGATGTTTTCACTAGTTCGTTTCATCTAAATTGTATTAATTGTAGTTTTCTTTACCCCAGAAAATACCCTTTATATTTAAATACTTTATATTAACATCGAGGGGGTCCTCTCTACAGAGGCCGCCATGTTTTTTACATTAGTCCAGACTGAACAAACTAAACACCTTTTGAGTTTTTATGACAACTGAAGCTACCTCTGGTACTTTTTCATGTTTGGAAGGAAAGGGTGAGGTGAGGGGTGTTCAGTTGCAACATGCAACTTCAACACTAGATATCACTAAATTCTACACACTGTACCTTTAAAACATAGGGGACCAGGTTTTAATATGCCCAGTTTGTTTAGAGGTTGATGCCATGATGAGCATTTGCCAGAAGGTGTCAGTAGAAGCTCAAATATGGGCTTGATATAAAGCAACCTTTTTGTGTGTGTGCATGTGTGTTGAGGTACTAGTGTGTGTTGAGGTACTAGTGTGTGTTGAGGTATTAGTGTGTGTTGAGGTATTAGTGTGTGTTGAGGTACTACTCGAAAGCAAAGATGGTAAAAAAACAACTTCACAAACAAAAAGGTAAGAAACAGAATGTGTCTGTTTGCTCCTGTGTTAAACCCTGACCGTCGTCACACTGATACCTCACCGTAACATCCTGACGCTCTCGGGCTGTGGTGTTGGTGTCTGATATCTCTCATCCCTGCTCTCTTCTTTTCTCAGCAGTGGAAACAAGTCGCTGTAAGATCTGTGCACCAGCTGTTGCCAGCTCACTTTGCTGCACTTCACCACTGCTCATGTGAGAGATGCAGCTCTGAGGGAGTATTATGGTCAGTGGGAAGTGACGCTCCTGATATTTAACTGACATTTCCCGCAGAGCCTCAGGAGATCTTACGACCTGATACAGAGCTCATCTGATGAAATGTTCAGCTGCAGCATCTCTTTTAAAGTCCAGTGGTGTCTCCTCTTCTCTATCAAGCTTCCTGTTCAAACAAAAAATGGACAAGCAAGACACAGAGATTTAGCAAGTTCCTACATTTTGTGTCAAATGTTGTTATTGAAATAGAAACCACTGTGTGTATGTGTGTTTCTATATTTCCCCACATGACTTTGTGACAAAGTGGTTGGTTGTGGCTGAGGGGGAAGAGTGGTTGTCCTCCAACCAGAAAGTCGGCAGCTTGAATCCCAGCCCATGCCAAAGTGTCCTTGGGCAAGATGAACCCCAAATGGTCCCTCATAGATGTTGAATGCACTAATTGGAATTCGCTTTGGATAAAAGCGTCAGCCAAATGACATGTAATGCAACTTAAAGGAGACCTGTTATGCTTTTTCAGTCTTTCCCAGTCCTCTAGTTGGCTGTATACGTTTTTTTATGAAGGTATTTGGTGTGCATTGCTCAAAATCCCAAAGTCTGTAGCAGAGGGAGCTCTCCACGTTAAACACTTTTCTGGAGGCTGCTGAAATACTTCGATTTTTGTAATACATCTGTTGTGCACGAGAGTTTATTTTATGTTTTAGTGCTGTCAGAAAATCAAAACATGGCACAGAGTACAACCAAGCTAAAGTCTCCTGGTGTACAGAGTTATTCTATTTACTAAAGCAAAGTGGGTTGTGGAACTGTTTTTTTAATTACACCTGTATAAATACTAATAAATGTCAGTCTTCTGTGTTTAATTGCAGCGTTGTCTGTTCACTGCTTCCAAATTATAACTTATTCACTCAAAGAGTTCTTAAAATAACACGTTCAAAAGGCCAGAATGAGATATTTCACACGAATAGGACTGAATGGACAACCTGGAAAACATAACGTGCCCCGTCTCTGGATGTCGTCAGTAAAAGAAGACATAAAAAAAAAATCAGCGTAAAGGTGATTTCCTTCTCTTAATGTCAGCTGACAGAGAAGCTGCCCCATCGTGAAAGAAAGAGATTTAATGTGCAGTTTCCAATTGTGACTACAAACACTAACGCACAAAACTGCACCTTCCATCCATTTCAATTACAGCTGCAATGTTGTGCTGATAGTTTGGGAATTAGGTCTTGTTGTGACCAACAGGCTTATTTTCCTGTGTCCTGCTCTTTATCATTCTCTGTGTGTCCTGCGGGGTGAGAGTGAGTTGATTAAAAGTAGCTTGATGAACCTCTGTTTCATCCATTACCTCTGATCACCATCATTCAATCAAGTTAAAACTGGACAGCATTGATTTTCTTTTCTTTCACAATCACCTGCCTGTGTCTCAGGTTTCTGACATCAATCAACACATCTGCTGTTAACTGAGCTAATGATGCACAGTCATCGCAACCGAAGTCACATGGAGGCACTGAGTAACACATCCATACATACGCTCCAGTGATCAGTGAGGGAGATCGAGAGTTTATTTCACACCAGCCCCTAATCCACCATCATCAGATGGAACAGTCACACTGCACA